TTATCTGAACCGTTCCATTTCAGTCCAGGCGCTGATCGACTTCGGATCAGCGGCCAACTTCATTGCACTGTCCACCTTAAACCGGCTACAAACCAGGCAACGAACCATCCCTCACAAGCTTCAAGTCCAAACCATTCTGGGACAACCACTAGGACGCGGCCGGGTTGGGCATCGGAGCCCTGACCTGGGGTTGGAGATCGGCTGGCTCCACCGGGAGGAGATATCCTTTGTGGTGCTGGAGGGCTCGACGGCTGAGATCATCCTGGGACGCCCCTGGTTGGAGACCCATTCGCCTCACATCCAATGGTCCACCGGCGAGGTTCTACGGTGGGGCCATGACTGTTTCCAGCGCTGTCTGTCCTCCGTGACGAAATCTCCAGTTTCTTCCACCACTCCGACCGTCCCACTCTCCACCACCTCCGTAGAAAGCCCACCAGTGGAACCTTCTCCCGAGATCCCCTCACCCTACCGGGCGTTCCAGGATGTCTTCGATAAACATCACGCCTCCATTCTACCCCCACATCGGCCATGGGACTGCGCGATCGACCTGCTGCCTGGGGCGGTTCTACCGCGAGGTAAGATCTACCCTCTGTCCATCCCGGAGCAGAAGGCCATGGAGGAGTACGTCCAAGAGGCTCTCGACCACGGATTCATACGACCATCAGTGTCCCCTGCCGCTTCGAGTTTCTTCTTCGTGGGGAAAAAGGACGGAGGCTTGCGCCCTTGCATCGACTATCGCATCCTCAACCAAGCTACAGTTAAATTCAGCTATCCCCTTCCTCTGGTCCCAGCCGCCCTGGAACAACTCCGAGGGGCATCCGTTTACACCAAGCTCGATCTTCGTAGTGCCTACAACCTCATCCGAATCCGGGAAGGTGATGAGTGGAAGACCGCCTTTATCACTCCCGCAGGGCACTACGAATATCTCGTGATGCCCTTCGGATTGTCCAACTCACCCGCCATCTTTCAAGGTTTCATGAACGAAATATTCCGCGATCTCCTCAATCAGTTCGTCGTCATCTACATAGACGATATCCTCATCTACTCTCCCAATCTGACCTCCCATATCCATCACGTGCAGACAGTGCTCCAACGCCTTCGAGACTACCATCTTTACCTCAAACTGGAGAAATGCGAGTTCCATCAAAGCACCATCCACTTCCTCGGTTACGTCATCACCCCACACGGAATCACCATGGACCAGAGGAAGGTGGAAGCGGTACTCCATTGGCCACAACCCACCACCCGAAAGGAGCTTCAACGTTTTCTGGGCTTTGCAAACTTCTACCGCCGTTTCATCCAGAACTTCAGTCCCATCAGTTCTCCACTCACTGACCTTCTCAAGAGCGGGGCCAAGTCTCTGTCCTGGAACACCCGAGCCACCCAAGCCTTCCAAGCCCTGAAGTCAGCCTTTGGCTCCGCTCCTACCCTCGCCCTGCCGGACCCCGCCGTGCCCTTCCTCGTCGAGGTGGATGCTTCCATCTCGGGGGTAGGAGCGGTCCTCTCTCAGCGGCAGGGGAATCCACCTCAACTCCATCCATGCGCCTTCTACTCCAAAAAACTGTCCCCGGCGGAGCAGAATTACGACATCGGCAACCGGGAGCTACTGGCCATTAAATTGGCGTTGGAGGAATGGAGGCACTGGCTGGAGGGAGCCCAACACCCGTTCACAGTGATCACTGACCACCGCAACCTCGAGTATCTCCGGGATGCCAAGAGACTCAACCCCCGTCAAGCCCGTTGGGCCCTGTTTTTCACTCGCTTTAACTTCTCAGTCACCTTTCGTCCCGGTGAGAAGAACGTAAAAGCAGATGCACTCTCCCGTCAGTTCCAACCTGAGACACCTTCTTCCGAGCCTGAACCCATTCTCCCTCCAGCCGTGGTTGTCAGCCCCATCCAATGGAGCTTCGATGATCACATCGCCGACGCCACGCAACTCGAACCTGCTCCGCCGGGAGGTCCTGAGGGACGGGTCTATGTTCCAACCCGTCTACGCCTGTCCCTCATGGACTCAGTACACACCTCTCCGGGCTCTGGACACCCAGGCAGCCAAGCCACTCTCTCGCTCGTCCAACAGCGCTATTGGTGGCCGGGTATGGCCCAGGACGTCTCCCGGATCGTCAGCGGATGCTCAGTCTGTGCCATGGCCAAGGTTCCCCGTCATCTCCCGGAAGGCAAGCTGGTCCCTCTCCCTATACCCACTCGACCTTGGTCCCATCTCGGAGTGGACTTCGTTACCGACCTGCCCGTGTCTGACAACCACACCTGCATTCTGGTCGTAGTGGACCGCTTCTCCAAGGCGTGCAAGCTAATTCCCCTTCCGGGGTTGCCAACAGCCCTTGAAACAGCAGAGGCATTGTTCCAACACATCTTCCGTAACTTTGGGATCCCTGAGGACGTCGTCTCCGATCGAGGACCCCAATTCATCTCTCGAGTATGGAAGGCATTCTTCAACCTTCTGGGGGTGACCGTCAGCCTCACTTCTGGATACCATCCCCAGTCCAACGGCCAGACTGAGCGGAAGATCCAGGAGATTGGGAGATACCTGCGGTCATACTGCCACGATCACCAGGACTGCTGGAGCCGTTACCTGCCCTGGGCCGAGTATGCACAGAACTCCCTCCGACAAACCACCACCGGACTCACCCCATTCCAGTGCATACTCGGCTACCAGCCTCCCCTATTCCCCTGGTCAGGAGAACCATCTGACGTCCCAGCAGTCCACCATTGGTTCCAGACGAGCGAGAGAGTCTGGGACTCAGCTCATACTCACCTCCAGCGGGCTGTTCGGAGACACCAGAACCAGGCCAACCTTCGCCGTACCGACGCCCCTCACTACCTTCCCGGACAACTGGTCTGGCTCTCCACCCGGGACATCCGTCTCCGTCGGCCCTGTCGGAAGCTGAGTCCCAGATATATCGGGCCTTTCCCGATTCAGAGGCAGATCAACCCCCGTCACCTACCGGCTGGCCCTCCCCGCTCACTACCGCATCGCACCCACCTTCCATGTCTCCTTGCTCAAGCCGTACACTAACCCTCTCACTCCTTCTTCCCCAGGGTCTGGTGCTGCGGAGGTGCCCCCTCCTCCTGCGGATCCCGAAGATGACAACATCTACCGAGTCCATGAAATCCTCGACTCCCGACGACGGGGCGGCCGCTTGGAATATCTCGTGGACTGGGAGGGATTCGGTGCCGAGGAGAGATGCTGGGTCAATCGGGAGGACATTCTGGATCCCTCGTTACTCCAGGACTTCCACACCACCCATCCAGATCGCCCAGCGCCCCGGAGCCGTGGTCGTCCCCGTCGTCGGTCCCGTCCGCCAGCTGGAGCTGGCCGTGGGGGGGGGGGGGGGTACTGTCACGGATCCATCTGCGTCAGCACCAGACACCTTCACTCCGCCCACTCGTTCCAGCTCTCCAGCATTCTAATCACTGTCACCTGCCCGCTTCAATCACCGTCCCAATCATCCTCCCTTTATAAACTCACTCCTCACAGTCACTCACCGTCTGGTCTCGTCGACACATCGGCTACAGACTCCCGCTACGCTACTACCTACTACAAAGGAATACTTACCCGCTTCATTCAGCCCCGTCTGCTTCTCTTCCGCTCCAGATCCCCGGTCTTCCTCTGGTCATCCGTCCGCTGCCTCCGCTCACCTACTTCCAGCCCTGCTAAAGATAAGAATTCCATTATCAGACTGTTTCCCGCTCCTGAACCGAACTTTATCCATTACATACTTACCAGCTGTCTATCATACCACCTGTCTCAATAAACCTGGTTATACTCATCCATCTGTGTCCTTCTAGTCTGTGACAACAGCAATAGAATAGCTTTACAGTAAACAGTTTTTTTTTTTTGCAGTACTAGCCTATCTTATATTAATGACGCAAGAGCATGTAAACAAACAAAAAAACACAGCCAATGTCCAAAGTGGCAATTAGTTATAGGATAACGGACACCCCAGCTAACACACGACGTAACAGTTACGTAATATATTCGTACTTTTTGGTCACTTTATGACTTACCAATTGACAACGTACCCAGATAGCAAACTGACATTGAATCAACGTGGAAATATGACATCGAAACAATGTTGATCTGACATTGTTTTGCTCATCGAATTAACGTTGAACCAACGTCAGACGCGTCATTCTTTCAAAAATAACGCAAAATCAACTTGAAATCAACGCGTTGTTTCAACGTTATGAAAGCAAACCAATTTTCGATTTTCATTTAGCTTTGAAGAATGCCGCGTCTGACGTTTGTTCAACGTTAATTCGATGAGCAAAATCAACGTTGTTTCAATGTCATGAGAGACGTCGTTTCCACGTTGATTCAATGTCAGTTTGCTGTCTGGGTAACTACAACGTCGTATGCTCGTAATTTCATAACCATCATATTACCAACCCACAACGTCGTCAGTACGTCCTCCTAAGGTTATAAGATAACCAACAACGTCGCAGATACGTAGTCTAATCGTAATTACTTGGTAATTTTATGACTTACTGGCAACGTAACTACAACGTCGCATGCCCGTAATTTCATTACCATCATATGACCAAACCACAACGTTGTCAGTACGTCCTCCTAAGGTTATAAAATAACCAACAACGTCGCAGATACGTAGTCTAATCGTAATTACTTGGTAATTTTATGACTTACTGGCAACGAAACTGCAACGTCACGGGACCGTAATTTCATTACCATCTTTAATTTATATAAAGAGTGCTTCATATTCTCTTTTAATGTGTGTGTGTGTGTGTGTGTGTATATATATATATATATATATATATATATCCTAATACAGATGTCTTGAAATTGCTTACATTAGCAAAATGGTATAAAAAAGCATGATTGTCAAGTGAATGAGAACTACAATGAGTTTTAAATTCATTATTTAAAATTAAAGATATTTAAATTGTTAAATGTTATATTTCTAGATGTTTATTTAAATGCTGCGTGCCTTTTGACGGTTACGTGCGCGTAAACATTGAGTCGCAAAAGCTATCTGATTCAAAGACAGGAGCGCGCGCGAGCACGAGCAGATGGAAACCATGGAAACGAGGAAACCTCATCAACTGACAAACAGCAAGACTAGCGTCTCTCACTGTTGTTTTCTCTGCTTTCAGGTAAGTTTAGTTACCAAAATCACTCAAATAATACATATAAACGTTCCGGACACCTTTCTTACGTGTAATTGATACACTTCTGTTGAATATTTACTTTATAGAAATGGTTTTGTGTCTTCCGAAAAAGTCCGTTAGCATCTCCGTTTTCAGAAGAGCTAAGTTAACGTTAGCTAAGTTAAGTTTACGTTACAATTGAGCTCTTGTTTTACATAAGTTTGGGTTTTTAACCACATTTTTGTGTTGATAACAGTTTTTTATAGTTTTGTTTTGCTGGTAATTTGTCAGTGGGTGGGAAGTAAGCTAAGTTATTTAACCTGAAATAATTCATTGTAACGTACTGTTAATGACGTCACTTACAAAGATTGATAATAAGTGATTTCAGGAGGAACAGAAAAAAACCCTCCACAACAAAGGGGGAATTATTGTTTATCATGATAATAATTTGCATTTATTGCACAATATATTACCTTAAGATTTTTTATATTCTTTATCTTTTCTGCATTTCATCTCTGCTCTTGCTTGCTTCCTTCCTTGTAATAAACCATTTGTCCTATTGTAAATTCTATGTAACATTGTTGGCTCTGTGACATGTTATTTTCTAGAAGATCATCTGATTGCCTGCTGCACCCCCTGTCCAAGACAATCTCCACGGCTATGAACTCGACTAGTAAGCAAAACTTCATACATAAGTTACTGTTCAATTGTTGTGGGTCTGTACTCTGTAGGATTTATGCTTTTGAATGAAGTCTCACAATTTAAAATCATTAACCCCAGTTTTTTTCAGTGAGATTGTCCTTGAGAAGCCTGTAGGCTAAATAATCAGCTAAATAATAGGCGGCAAATATAATGTTATAATGGTCATAGTTATAATAATTCATTTAACTATTATTATAACAGGATAATGGTCATTGGTATACATATTTGTTTTTCTCTAGGTGTGTTTTTAATTGTGTTAGCCAATGAGACGGACATCATACAGTCCAACTCAAAGGTATTTTTAATGTAGTTTTTACTGATAAATACTGAAATTCTTTTTACTTTTAAATGCTGAATTCAGGGGGTCGACAACTTTAGGCACGCAAGTTATTTTTCACAGATATCTGTCCAGTTTACTCATGGCTCATACTCTTAGCCTTTAAAATGTTTGAATGTACATCAGCAATACATTATCAGGGGGTAAAGATATTATTAGAGTTTTTAAAGTTATGGCTATGCTCTTGTTACCAGATGAGATATCAATGATCTTTTGACCCTGTGATTCTTCAGGACAAGATCTTGATGCCATCCACACTCAGTACATAAGGAAGGTGAGTTTCACAATAGCTGCCACTATCACAAACAAAACCGAAACACAACAGGCCTTCATCCATATGAACTCACCCATGCGTAGGGATAGGTTCCGAAACCCGGTATTAAACATTAAACGGGGGCCAAATTAAGGAAGACCGCAGTATCAATAAGCTCAGATGTTCTCGGTTCTGCTGACGGTACTGAAGAAATTACACACACTATTATAGACAGTCTTTCAGGCTGGTTGTTTGTCATTTTGTAGGGAGAGGCTGTACCTCAGTAAAGACTTATTTTACATTCGATAATTCAATTTCCGTACCTGATAAGTTTTTCCTAAAAAAAATCATGCACTGCTTATTTCAATTGTATTTTTCTTCTTTTGAATTTATCTATGCTTGTAATTTGTTTATAATTTTCAATGCAGATTCACTCTAAATAAATAATCTCCTGAAATTTGTTTTTATATCGCAATATATATAGCAGCAGATAAACAAAATATTTTATTTAAGCCGTAATATTGAGCATTTAAGCTAACTCTATTTTTTTATTGAACCTCGAATGATAATTTGTGATACCAGATGAGATGTATCCTTGTTGTTTTGAACTGTACTATTTTTTTTTTGCAGGTTTTCTGGGATCCATTATATTCATGTTAAACCTTCATTTAAATGTTTATAAACCGTTTGCACACTGGTTTTGCTGTTGTTTGTGCTTTCTTATATAGTAAATAAAATGAATTAACCAAATACTGAGTCTGTATCTTTCGTATGCCATTGAAAAGTCTCCAAAATAGTTTTGGGCATATGAGGACAAGTTAAATTAGACCACTGCTTGTCCGCCCATATTAATTAAAACTAAAATGACCAACTGGTTACCAACACACGACTATTGATCCATAACGTTTGCCACAACGTCGCAGTTACGTGTCGTTACGTCGTGACAACGTATCTGGGAATTTCACTTTTCCGGTTGCCACAACGTAACTGGTTACGTCGCCACGACGAAAGTTTGGTCACCAGATTACGTTGCAGTTACGTAACGTATTTGTGTTAGCTGGGACAGCTCATCAACGATCATCATGTTTGTAGCATGATCCAGGGGATTAAAACGTCCAAAATATATTTCAGGCCTAGTGGAGTTGGTAACTAATAATAGTAGTAAAAGTGTAAAGTTGCATACAATGGAAATACTCACTAATGCAAGAAAAAACTACCTCAAAAAACGGTTATCTGTGCTGTTGTCCAGTAACAGTTGGAATTTTCACCCCGATGTGGCTGCCGCGCTACCGAAGCGCCATCTAGTGGCTGTTACCAAAAAAGCATCAGAGTTTCGCCTCTCTATACTCTTTGCTGCAGGTCAACAATGCATGTGAAATTGTCACTTTATTTCCTTTTTTGGAGGACCAATTTTCTTACAATGGGTAACTAATTCTTTCAGATTAAATATTTATGCAAAATGTACTTATCAGAATAACTTTTGATGTTGTGTGGTTATGCTTTCATATTAAATGTAAGTTATTGATTTAGCTATTTGTTTTCTAGGAGCATTTCTATGATGCACCGAGTGGCTAATGCTAACCAGGCTTGGTGTTTAAAGACTGTGCAGACTAGAACTTGGTGATGGTAAGAGTTAACAGATAACATGAGAGAATCATGGGCACAAACATAAAAAATAATCATAGCTTTATTGCTATTTGGTATAACTAAGATTTTCTGTGTTTCATAACACTTATTTTGAATTTGTCCAGTCAAATAACTTTACAAATGTAATTTTTATTTTTTACTTAAAATTAGTTTTCAAACCAATTGTTTTCATGACTTGACAGGTAGATGTTTTCTTGCTGTTTAATTGTAGACTCTACTGACTGGGAAATATCTGCCTATCACCTGTCCAACATCACAGCCACAAGAAGGGAACACAGATTCTTCCGGCGGCTGACTATTAGGGAGATTTCTTAAGGTGGGTGTCTAAATTTATTCCTAAAGGGTTAGTTCACCCAAAATGGAAATTCTGTCATTAATTACTCACCCTCATGTTGTTCTAAACATGTAAGAATTTCTTTCATCTTCACAACACAAATTAAGATATTTTTTAATGAAATCTGAGAGCTTCCTGCCCTCCATTGACAGTCTATGCAACTACCACTTTCAAGCCCCAGAAAGGTATAAGGTCTGGGTATAGGGTGTGTTTTAAAGCAGTGATCTCAAACTCAATGGGCTTTATGCCCAGCTGCACTACTTCCTGAACTTCAGCCAGCTCCTTGTTTCCTGTCTGCCATTATTGGCCAAATTGATTAATTCAGGTGTACCTGACCTCAGTAGTCATGGCAACAATAATCAGACACACCTGAATTAATCAATTTGGCCAATAATGGCAGACAGGAAACAAGGAGCTGGCTGAAGTTCAGGAAGTAGTGCAGCTGGGCATAAAGCCAATTCCTGGAAGGCCACATGTCTGCACAGTTTTGCTCCAAACCTAATCAAACACACCTGATCCAGATCCATTGAGCTAATCAAGGCCTTAAGGATTACTAGAAATTGCCTTACAGGTGTGAGTTGGAGCTAAACTTTGCAGAGCTGTGGCCCTCCAGGAATTGAGTTTGAGATCACTGGTATAAAGGTACATCATTATGCTGTGTTCACATGTATACACTTGAACACTTTGAATCCATTTGTGCATCGCAGGCAGGCTCATTTTTTTAGCATTGCGCAAATTGATGGCAAAGTAAAAAAAAAAAATTCAACGGGATTTTTTTATGCGCGTAACGCGGCATTGCATTGACTGATGGTAGAGATCCACTTTTGTGACACGACTGATGCCTCCCCACATTTGTACTTTGATGGGCGTTCCTTAAGTTTACCACTAAGGACATGGTTTTGACTTTTGATTTCCTTTCCGTGGCTTTGGAAGTGGTAGTTGAATAGGCTGTCAATGGAGGGACAGAAATGTCTTAGATTTCATTAAACATAACTTTGTTAAGTGTTCCGAAGATGAACAAAACTCTGCTTTGGAATAACATGTGGGTGAATAATGACAGAATTAACATTTTTGAATGAATAAAGCCTTTAATTTACTTGAAAAAATTCTTGAGTACATTCTAGTCTTAATCTAACCAAAATAGTTTCTTGTGTGACTCAAAGTCTAAGAGGATTGAACTTTTTCCACCATAAACTTGCTGTGTTTATAAAGCACAAATTGTATTAATTGTAATCGATCTGGTTTTGTGTTGTGTTGTCTAGAGAACCAGCACAGTCTCCAGGATTTTTCGAGAAAGTTGGATCTGCACAGCCGTTCCTGCTCTATGAAACTCTACTGTTAGCAACTGGACACAACTGATCTACTTGTACCCTGCGACTGATCCACTGGTATCCTATACTGTTCTTCATCTGCTGAATGTTGTTGACTCGAGCACTGCTGTACTGTTGCAGAGTCGAGGGTACTGAATCAACTTCACTGACACAGGACTTACATTCACTGACATGTTCAGGATTTGAAGTATCACAGACCATTTGACAGAAATTACTATATTGTGCATTCATTGTTCATTTTAAAGGTTAACCTATGATGTAAAGGGGCTTGTTCGTTAATAAAATAAATAGTTTGTTAAAACCACTGTTTGAATTTTGCCTTTTTTTTACTTTACAATGAACAGAATTCTATACTGTACAATTTCCAAATTTGCAAACTTCATATAAGTGATGTTGGTCATCTAAACATGAAATCTGTATGACACCTTTTATAACGAGTATAAAAAAATTACACAAAATGTGTATAAATCCTAGATGACTTTAATTTGACTAGCATATGATTCAATATAAGAACTTTAAATGATTTGTATATGAATTTAAGTTGGTTTCTAATAAAACCATATACCATTGCTTGCATATATGTTTGTCATTTAAAATTCATATGATTTAATATAAGAACTTTAAATGATTTGTATATGAATATTGTGTGTTTTCTACAAGTACCATACACCATAGCATACTTTTGTCATGTACAACTCATTTAAGACTTTTACAGTATTCATATATGACGCAAAAATCCCCTATAAGTTGTATGTGTGCTATTTAGTATGAAAGGGGCCATAATCGGTATGATTTTTTACAGGACGTGTATTGGTCTTACATGAAACACATAAGGTAATTCTGGCCAATTTAAGTAAGGAAGATATATGGTTGCTGTATATGAACCATGCTGTTTTGTTTTTTTTTTTCATATGGGGGCCCCTCCGCCTACAAACATATATATATATATATATATAGCCTATATATATATATATATATATATATATATATATATATTAAGTATATTTTAGTTTTGTATATATATATATACAAGGCCGTAAACTTAAACTAAAATAGAAAATCACATTTTATACAAAAATGTTTAATTCTAATGTGAATAAAGTTAGCATTGATAAAAATGTTAAGGAAAACCTACATAGGCTATTGATCTAATATATGTAGCACATATATAAGGCTAATGAACAGGCTTGCGATGTCAAGATTGCAATTCTGGAATATGTGTCGGTGTGTGGTGCGGGCACGATTGAAGAGTGTACACATAAATGTACCATTTTGCAAAGTGTTTACTTACATTTGTGTACACTCGCAATAAAACATAACACTGTATTTTTGTAAAATAAATCCATTAATATGTCCCCCAAAATGGTGCTAATTTTGAAAATGAAAGTAAAATGCTCGAGACTGCACGGGCATTCATTACTGTGAACACAAGAGTGCAGTAAAGCACTATGAATGGTTTGGAATTTTTTATTTTTATTTTTTTACTTAACCATTCTGGCTTTTTTTTTTTAATCTTAAACATAATTCTTAAATTGAAAACAAAAGGAATAAACTTGGTTTAGTTCTAATATTTGTATAATTTTATATAAAAATAAATGGTCTATAATTATATTTTAGAAAGATATGAGACATTTCTTGATTCTTTATTTGACATTACTTTAATCTCTCAGCATAGCAAAACTGCTTGAGATATTCAATATCTATTCATAATTTAGCATTGCTAAAGTATTTTTATCAAGTTGAAAAAGTTTGGCATGAATAAAATAAACTACTAAAGAGGAGTGAGTAAAAATGTAAAGGCTGGTTTTGCAAAACATCCGCATTCAGACCAAAATAACCAAGTTAATTTAATTATTAAACTAATTATATAAAACTATTGTCAATGCACTACAATTAAACCGGTTATATGCCTTTATTAAAAAAATAAATAAACTTATTTAAAAAATACAAGGCTTAAATGCTGTTCAGGCATAAACTGTCAGATGTATGCGGATGACACTGTGGTCCATGTTTCCGCTAAAACATCTAGTCTGGCAGATGAACACCTGACAAAAGCATTAATTAATATTTCTAAATGGCTTGAGTCATCCCATTTATCCCTTAATGTTAAGAAAACAGTCTCTATGTGTTTCCCCATACGAAATAGGCCTTTATATATTTGAGGTTCAGATAAAAAAAGAAGTAATAGAAGTAGTTAACGAAGTCAAGTACCTTGGGATAATTCTAGATAACAATTTAAAATTTGACAATCATGTTAAGTACATATGTAAAAAGGTCAAACCAAATATAAACTGTTTTCGATTTATAAGAAGAGATCTGTCTTGTCACACTGCAAAACTCTACATGCATGCGATGATATTCTCACATCTATCATATTGCATTACATCATGGTCACAAGCATCCCCATCCAAACTAAAACCTATTTTCTCCATTTACAAACAGACAATAAAAATTATGGACCGGAAACCTATGAAGTGGCATCATTGTGATGTTTTAACAACGCATCAGCTTATGGGCTTTGACAGTTTTATTGATTTTAATTATATCAAATTGGTCTATAAATGTTTAAATAATCATGTTTCACCAATGTTCTCTGAATTAGTAAGCAGACGGCAAAGTTCTCAGAGGGCGAACACAAGGGCCACTGTCAGAGGTGACTGTCTAGTTCCAAAGTGTAAGACCTCTTTTGGTCAGTCTGCTTTCTCTGTGAAGGGGCCAAAACGTCTCTCGGTTACGGATGTAACCCTCGTTCCCTGAGTAGGGAACGGAGACGTTACGTCAGAAGTGACGGAGATTGGGGGGTTTCGCATAGAAAGCCAATCCTCTTCGAGTATTTAAAAACGAGCCAATGGCATGCAATGCCTTGGGGCTGCGGAAATTTGCATAGCGTACTCCGCCCTACTCCGTGAGTATAAAAGGAGGAAGTGAACGCAACCGCAGTATGTCTTCGCTGAGGAGCCAAGACTGAACTCGGCGTCTACCCAGCGATACAGCAGAAGTGGCAGGGAGACGTAACGTCTCCGTTCCCTACTCAGGGAACGAGGGTTACATCCGTAACCGAGACGTTACCTTTCGTAGTCACTTCGAGTTACGTCAGAAGTGACGGAGATTGGGGGTCTGTGCCATCACGCCATCTTCAAGCTGTCTACCAGTGCCCTGCAAAAGTCTGGACCCCTGAGCCTTACCTCTTTTTTTTTTTTTTTTTTTTTTTTTTTTTTCAGGGATCCCACTTTGACACAGGATTACCAAGGTACACTGGGAAACATATCCCGGGAGGGACATTCTACCAGATGCCTACCGAAGGGAGGACTTACAAATACGCATATGGCCGCATAGGAACGCATATGGAATCACTGGAGTACCAACCGCAGGTGGCAACTAAATTTTTAACTCCAGGGGTGGCAGATGGCTTGCCAAGGGAAGACACATGCTTAGAGAGGCTTACAGAAGATAATACACATGAGACGGTTACCGTGGGGAACCGTGCACATGGAGGCACCTAGCCAGCATCCAGAGCAACAGCAGTGGTTCCCGCATCGTCGGTGCTGGAGGACTCAAGGCTTCAATGGAAGAACTGAGGAGATATCGCACTTATCCAGTCCGGGGAGTGGAATGGCGAGCAAGCGAAGACACCTAAGCGGGTCCAGTACTGGCGGAAGCGAGTACGTGAGAGGACACCGGCTCAATTCGCAGATTATAGAATCTGGCGAAGGTGTTGGGTGTCGCCCAGCCTGCAGCTCTGCAGATGTCTGTTAGCGAGGCGCCGTGCGCTAGAGCCCAAGAGGAGGCCACACTCCGAGTGGAATGGGCCGTCACACCAAGGGGGCACGGACGGCCTTGCTGCTGGTAAGACAAAGCAATGGCGTCCACTATCCAGTGGGACAGCCGTTGCTTTGAGAGAGCCCTTCCCTTCTGGCTCCCCCCATGACAGACAAAGAGCTGGTCTGAGGTCCTGAAACCCCGCGTTCTGTCGACGTAGGCCCGGAGGGCACGTACCGGACAGAGCAGTGCCAAGGCTGGGTCTGCCTCCTCCAGGGGCAGCGCTTGCAGGTTCACCACCTGGTCCCGGAAGGGAGTGGTGGGAACCTTGGGCACATATCCAGGCCGGGGTCTCAGGATCACGTGAGAGTAAGCCGGCCCGAACTCCAGGCACGCTTCGTCAACGGAGAATGCGTGCAGGTCCCCCACCCTCTTGATGGAGGCCAATGCAACCAGGAGTGCTGTCTTCATGGACAGAAACTTTAACTCTACTGACTGCAAAGGCTCAAAGGGATGCCTCTGCAGAGCACTGAGAACTACCGAGATGTCCCAAGAGGGTACGAGGGGAGGACGAGGCAGATGTAGCCTCCTCGCTCCCCTCAGGAACCTGATGACCAGGTCGTGCTTCCCTAAGGACTTACCTTCTACTGCTTCATGAGAAGCGGCAATGGCCGCGACGTAAACCTCAAGGGTGGAGGGCGACAGCCTGCGCTCCAACCCTTCTTGCAGGAAGGAAAGCACGACCCCGATCGAACATCTCCGGGGGTCTTCTCCGCGAGAAGAGCACCAGTTGACGAAGAGGTTCCACTTCAACGCATAAAGGTGTCTCGTGGACGACGCTCTAGCGGAAGTGATGGTTGCCGCCACCGCAGGTGGCAGCGAATTCAAACCTGCCTCGTCCCGTCCAGGAGCCACACGTGCAGCCTCCAAAGATCGGGACGAGGGTGCCACAGAGTGCCCCGTCTCTGAGTGAGTAGATCTCGTTTCAGAGGAATAGGCCAAGGAGGTGCTGTCGCGAGGAGCATGAGTTCGGAGAACCACGTCTTGGTGGGCCAATAGGGGGCTACCAGCAAGACCTGCTCCTCGTCCTCCTTGATCTTGCACAACACCCGTGCAAGAAGGCTCACTGGGGGAAACGCATACTTGCGTGGGCCCCGCGGCCAGCTGTGCGCCAGTGCATCTGAGCCGAGCGTACCCTCGGTCAGGGAATAAAACTGGGCGCAGTGGGATGAGTCCCGGGAGGCGAACAGATCTATCTGTGCCTCCCCGAACTGGTCCCAAATCAGCTGGACCGTCTGGGGATGGAGTCGCCATTCGCCGGAGATAGGGCGGACCCGTGACAGCTCGTCGGCTGCCAGGTTCCGGTCTCCTGGAATGTATACTGCACGAAGGGACCTCAGGTGCTTCTGACTCCATAACAAGAGGTGGCGGGCGAGCTGCGACAACCGGCGTGAGCGTAGACCCCCCTGGTGGTTGATATATGCTACTGCCG